GCGGGGGCGGGGTGCGGCGCCGCGCGGGGGGGGCGGCGAGATGATGGATGTGAATAAAAAGAAAAACAGTACCCACACCCAACCCACATCCTATACTTACACCACACAGATCCACAACCCATATCCTTAACTTTACAGCAATTGAACGTAATTGTTTGTTGCATAGGACCGGACAGAAGGGTGGGACACTGTGAGTTGGTAGACTTTTAGAAAACGAACAAAGATAGTGTCTATGCAAGGTATGAAAGTGTAGCTGTGGGTGTGGTTCTCTGTCTCCTTTTCCAGGATAGTCACACCCATAAACTAAAAAGGAATGCTTTCCAGAGGCTCCCTTAACCAAGAAAAGTATTCAGAAAAACATTGCTGCTACATTTGAATAATATTACATTTCATTGATTTTTGTTTTAGACATTACTGAGATGGTTATGAATCTTCGAATGGATGATGTATTGAAATGCGCATTGAATCTGGTTGAAACAAACTCTAAGTTGAAATGTCTTGTTGAAAAAGAAATTGAAACGATGATAGTTGGTAATACCGGTGAGCTGTTTGCGATTTTCTATGGTTCGAGTATGACTGTTAATTCTGGAATAGAAAGACCTGACGAAAAAGGAATACTATGCTTGTTACTAAATTATTTATTGTTGAAAATTGAGAACAAAGAAGAAACCGATAACATTAGAAGAATTTTTTCGATTACAGACGAGCAACGAAGCAAAATAAAGACCATCTTTAAAATATTAAAGCAATGGCTTGTTGATTTAACAGTAGTAAATGCAATTGGAAAATCTCCAGAAAAAAATCAAGATGTAAAGAACTATGTCAATTTGTTAAAAGATAGACTTCGTAATCTACAGAGTATCTGTATTTTACCCAGCGGCTTTGCGAAAGCTACTTGGAATGAACCCGGTTTTACAAACTTTCTAATGTTAGAATCGGAATATACTGGTTCGTCCTCTAATGCCTGTATTATTGAATATGAAAGTAAAGAAACCAAAAGATTAATTCATATAGATCCAATAAGTTCTTATCATAGATCATATCGTGAACTGACAAAAGATAAAATCAGTTTGGGATTAGAAATTATGAAGATTCCATCTGAGAATTTCGATCTGAATTTTTTGTTACCTCTAATAAAGCTTAGAACTATAGCCGGTAGTAGAAATTATGAATCGGCATACCTTTACGAAGTTGTTTTATCGAAGCTTGGCGGAGAAGGAAATGTAAGGAATGAAAAAGAGTTTTTCGTTAATATAGATGAAAAAGGATTTTCAGTTTGCCATGGACACTTGTAAAACTGTCTTTTACTATTTGTTGAAAAAATCTTTTGACGATCAAGAAGCACAGTCATTATATGCCAAAATAATTTGTGAATTTGAACTTAAATTGCTAATAAACAGTTTCGACAAATATACAAAGTTAGAAATTAATGACAGATTAAATCGTCTACAATATCAATTTCTACTCCATGAAATGTGCAATAAAGTGGCATATGATGCTGCAGATTGTGTGGCAAAGAAAAAGAAAATCATTGTTGATTATATAGTGAAAATCCAAGAAAACATCTACTGTTATAATCAGAGCTTAAATAAAGAAAAACGATGTGAGAAATCTGTAAAAAAGCTGACCTTTCAGCATACAAATTTTGAAAGTGTATTATCAGAAAATCTAAGAGGATTAAAATTTATTAAAGAAAATATCACTAGCAATACTAATTCTTCGTCGAGTAATATCTTACGAAAACAGTTTTCGTGTGACACGTTTAATATTGAAAAAGATTCAAAGAACGTGCAAATAGTTGAATTTAATCGAATGTTAGATGAAATCACTCGATACTATGGATTTAACCGAGTAATTCCGATCTGTCAGGTAATAGAAAATTTCGTATTTTCAATTGTTCAACATAATGGATTTCGAATTTTAAGTGATCATGAAATATCTAATGTTGAATCAGCTCGAATATTACTTCGTATCGCAAATCTTTATTATAATTGTTCTGCTATTGTTGTTGTTGAATTATATTCTGATGAAAATTGTTCGTATGAACCAACTTACTATACAAAACTAGTTCTCATTCTATTTAGTCTTTTTGCGATGATCGACGATTTAGTTAGAAAAGATCAAATAATTGGTTTTAGTCTTAAAAATTACGCGCTAAGTACTGATTCAGAGAAAATCTCTTTGAAATCCATCATTCCACAGTTAGCTTTGCCAGAAAGAAAATGGTTTGACCTATTAAAGAAAATTGAAGAATATTTGAAATTATTTACGACTAATGTTGAAGAAAGTAAAGCAAGAGGAAATTGCCTGTTTCATTATTCGTCACTTTCGATAATTAATAATTCGGATGAAAATAATACTGATGTGATGTATATGTTAAGTCTTTTAAAAAATAACTTTTCAGATAATTATGCGAAGTTTCAAGAAACTCTCAAAGGAGTTAAAGTAGATCAATTGAAAAATAGCTGGGAAGAACTTTTGTTTACTGATAAACATCTTCCGGAGTTAGTGAGATACTTGAGGAACATTTCATATTTATCTCTATTATCTTTATGTGGTTTTTCTATACTAGCTATACAGAGAATAAAATTTCTATTGTGTAATGATACAAACATGTATAAGCGTTTCAAATATAATTCTGACAAATCTCCTGCGATTTCTGACTTACATATTCAAATGAATTCTTCTAGTGATAACAGAAGATTTGTCGATTTTACGTTACCTAGAGATCAAAGACTTATTACATTCAATTGTGACCAAAAACATAAAAGCAATATGACTGAAAATGAAATTATTGGCATTCAAAATGAAAAGCCAGATAAATTGACAAAACCACAATATTACCGTTTATGTTCTATTCAGTTATATGATGAGTTAAAATTTACACTATTGTATATTGCATTAAAAAATGATGAGATTAACTTTGAGA